AATAGTAACTTTTATGTCTTTAGGTTTTTGCCACAAATGTTTAGTGAATTTGACACTTTTAGTCCTTAAAGTGAAAACTTTTATAATTTTGTTTTTTGATTAAGTTTTTGTGCTTTTAGGGTTTTGCCACAAATCTTTAGTAACTTTGACACTTTTCGTCCTTGCAATGAAAAGTTTTATATTTTGGTGTTTTTGCCACAAATCTTTAATGAATTTGACACTTTTCGTCCTTATAGTCAAAACTTTTACATTTTGACATAAAAAACACAAAAAACCTTCTTTAGAATTTTGCCACCATATTTTCTCAACTTTGGCAACTTTCACATTATTGCCACAACATTTTTGGATTTTCTCCACCAGTGTCCCTTCTTTTTCGTTGTCGTACACTTTGGACATCTAATTTTAGGGGTTGTCGACTTTCTCTCCTATTTGCGGTGATTTACACTTTCAGCACGTATTTTTTAAAGTTTGCCGATTTTCCCCATATTACCCCAAAAGCGGCGTAGCCGCGAGTTCTTTGCTAGTTACAAATAATCTTCAAAGACTACAATCTTCTCTTGATCATCTGTTGAAAATGGGATCATGTGTGTTTTAGGCAATAGTACATATTATTTTTATGATTCAGCTTTTAAAATGTTGCATACGTATACAAATAAATAAACAAGGGTAAATTACACCAATCGTCCCTCGTGCATATGCCAAAAAGTACGTTTAGTCCCTATTTTCAAAAATTAACTCGGATAGTCCCTAGGTTTGTTTTTTTTTTTTTTTTTTGCATGCTTGGTCCCTCCGCAGATAAAAAGACCATTTTGCCCTTATTTATTTATTTTTTGATTTATTTATATTTATTTGTTATTTATTAATTATTCATTAATTTGTTTATTATAAAAAAATAATTGTTATTGCATTTAAAAAAGAAACGGGTCAGTACATTTGATAACTCATTTCCCCCTCCCAATTCTTCTTCTTCTTCTTTAGACCACCCACATCGACGGATTCCACTGCTCCGACAACTCCCAGACATCTTCGGTTTCAACCAGAGGAAATCGACTCCAAGATACCGGCCAATTTCAATCTTTATTTTACTTTCGTCTCCTCTTTCCCTTCTTCTGATCTCATACTTACATCTCCCCTTCTATCTCTTTCGCACAGAAGACCACTACTTCAGATCTAGGTTTTCAAACAAAGGAAACCCGAGGTGGCGCACAAGTGACGATGACGATGGTAACGCACATGTGATGATCTGTAAACGATGACGATGGTGGAGCTCGATTTAACATCCTAGGCGGTGGTTTAAAACCCTAGGTGGTGATTCAAACATATCCATATATTCTCCACAAATTACATGGATCGATTGAGAACAAGTAACCTGATCGGGTGAATTAAACCACCATCACCAGCAACAGTTTTTTTGCTGCCCTTCCTCCTTCGCCAATCTTCTTCATGTCTCGCTCTCTCTCTCAATTTCTAAAACCATCTGAGTTTTAAATTTCAGATTCGGAAACCAGAGATGATGATAGGAGTAGGATCAACGGAAGGAAGATGAGAGAGGGTTTGCTGGAGAGATTATCCATCGGTGGTGACTTAAGAGTGATTTTAAGGTTTTATCAAGAGTTTAGAAGAGGATGAAGAAGATAGATCCGGGAAGAGTGGGTGGGATTGGGTTTGGGTATTAAGTGGGTCCATATTTTTTTTATAATTAATAATAATAATAAAACATTAAATTAATTGAAAATGAAATATACAAAGGGCATTATGGTCATTTCAAATCTGACAGGGACTAAAATCGAAACAAAACCGTGTATCAGGGATGAAGCATGCAAGATTTAAACAAACGAGGGACGGTCCGAGTTAATTTTTGAAAATAGGGACTAAACGTGTATTTTGGCATATACACGAGGGACGATTGGCGTAATTTACCCAATAAACAACAATATAACCAAAAATTTACATCAACTTATAAACGGTTATATTAACTCAATAATGGATGTAATTATTTGTTAAATAATTCAACTCATAAACCGTTACAAAAATAACAAGCCAATACACAATAGAGATGTTTTTTGTTAAATAATTCAACCAACAAGGCAACTATAGATCTGTCACAACTTTCTTCGTATAAAGTCCTAGCTATACTGGTTTAAATGCCCTATTCTTCTTAGTTCATCTAAATATGACCGAATATTTTGAGTTTATATGATGTCATAAACCACTTTTGTTTTTTGACTACATAAACATTAATCCTTATAACTCTAATTATTAATGTTCTTGTGACAATAGACCAATCAACATCTTTAACAAAAAAATTCCGATTTATTTTGCTTTATGCCTATTCTCATGAAGATGATTAATGATCATTTTCATACGGGAAAATGACTTATATGGGTAATTATGTTTCAAAAGTGTTCAAAAAATATCATTCAAGTTTGGTGTGTCCAAAAAACACCATCCAACTAAAGAATTTGTACAAAAAACACCAACGAAGTACATTCTTTGTTCAAATTTGACCTTTTGGTAACCGGCAATTACCGGTAAAAAATAAGTAAAGGAAAAAAAACAAGAGGAAATGACTCAAAGGGGTAACTATGTTTCAAAATCATTCAAAAAACATCATCCAAGTTTGGTATGTTCAAAAAACACCATCCAAGTAAACTTTTTGTACAAAAAACACCAACAAACTATATGTTTTGTTCAAATATTACCCACCGGTAACTGGCTCTTACAAGTTAAATGACGACTTGGCTTAACTATTATGACATGACATAATAATTATTGACAAAACAATAAATGATATATTCCTCATTTAAAAATCGATTTAGGGTTTCTTCATGAACGAATGACTTCTTCTTCTCCTATGATTGCTCTTCTTCTTCTAAAGTGATGATCTCGAACTCAAGTCCAAAACCCTAATTCTTGACATAAGGCAAAAAGGGCTCCTTTACTCCTGCCTCAATGGCCCCCCCTCCCCCTAAGGCCCAAATCCATAAAAAGCCCAAAAAAGCATCCAAGTCCAACTACAAGGCCTCTGAGGCCCAAGAACCCTCAACATGGCCTTAAGCCCAAAAATGATCTGCTACAATCAGGTGGGCCCGAGGCCTAACTTAAACAAGTCCATGCATACGCCCAACATATGATGAAGCCTCTGCGATCCGAATGTCGAGCCAGTACGCCCGACCTACTCTTAGTGTACGCCCAGCGTACTCGGCTACGGTCAAGAACCGCCAATCTTCCGAAGGCCATAACTTCTTCATTCTAAGTCCGATTTCGTCGTTCTTTATATCCATGGGAGCTAATTTAGGCATCAGACAGCCATACCGAGGGTTATGGCCTTTAGATTGCGATTCTTAGTGTTGCCTTAATGCTACATTAGAATTCATCATTCCCGGGTCCAACCGAGGATTATGGCCTTCGGAAACGAAATCACAATCTAATTTGGACCCCGACATAGCTCTCTGATGCCTAAATTAGATTGTCATTCTTAGTGTTACCTTAATGCTATGTATGGTATCTCTTTTTTTGCCTTACCTTACTCTGCATTGGATATCATGTCTTTGGGGTATTTATAGGCTGTTCATTGTTAGAAGAGTTTATAGTCTTGACCGGTCCTTCATTTATTATCCGGTCTACAGACAGACACGTCTCTTGTCCTTTCCTTGTTATTTTATTGTTTCGTACCATTTCTTTTGCATGTTTCATGGGATATGGTTCCGATACTTATGTACGATGTATTCGAATTTATATTCGTTCGTAACAAGTCGTGGTTTCTGTAATGCCCATTTGGTGATGGATAATGTAGGTTGTGGGGACCGAGTGTTCGGTTTGTGTTGGAGACCAAGGGCATATCAGTAAGTATCAGTTCGAGCCTTTATGAAGTTTGGGTTTATGTTAGAAAAGTTTTAAGGCAATGGAGATTTGATAGAAGTGTAGAACTTCTTTCCTTCCCGTGGATATAAAGAATGACGAAATCGGACTTAGAATGAATAAGTTATGGCCTTCGGAAGATTGGCGGTTCTTGACCCTAGCCGAGTACGTTGGGCGTACGCTAGGAGTACGTCAGGCGTACTGTCTTGAAATCCGAATCGCAGAGGCTTAAACATATGTTGGGTATATGCATGGACTTGTTTAAGTTAGGTCTCGGGCCTACCTGATTGTAGCAGGTCATTTTTTGGGCATAAGGCCGTGTTGGGGGTTCTTAGGCCATATTGGGCCTTAGAGGCCTTGTAGTTGGGCTTGGATGTCTTTTTAGGCTTTTTATGGATTTGGGCCTTAGAGGGACGGAGGCCCATTGATGCATGGGTAAAGGAGCCGTTTTTGACTTATGTCAAGAATTAGGGTTTCAGACTTGAGTTCGAGATCATCACTTTAGAAGAAGAGCAATCATAGGAGAAGAAAAAGTTATTCGTTCATGAAGAAACCCTAAATAATTTTTAAATGAGGAATATATCATTTATTGTTTTATCAATAATTATTATGCCATATTATAATAGTTGAGTCAAGTCATCATTTAACCTGTAAGAGTCAGTTACCGGTGGGTAATATTTGAACAAAATATATAACTTGTTGGTGTTTTTTGTACCAAAAGTTTACTTGGATGGTGTTTTTTGAACATACCAACCTTGGATGGTGTTTTTTGAACGATTTTAAAACATAGTTTACCCCTTTGAATCATTTTTTTCCTTTACTTATTTTTTACCGTCGGTTACCACAAGGTCAAATTTGAACGAATAATGTACTTCGTTGGTGTTTTTTATACAAATGCTTTACTTGGATGGTGTTTTTTGAACACACCAAACTTGAATGGTATTTTTTGAACACACCAAACTTGAATGGTATTTTTTGAACGATTTTGAAACATAATTACCCATATGTCATTTTCCCTTTTCATATACCTAGGAAGTTGCACAGGGAACAACTCATAATAAAAAATAAAAAAAAAAACATTTTTAAAATGTCACATTTGACATTTAAATATCATTCGAGACAAAATAGAAGACAAACATCTCGATATAATGTCTAAAGAAGAAAGTCTAATATTATAAAGAACATTACCAAACAAACATGTAACAAACCAAAAATAACTATTTCCTGTTGAAGGGAAATACATTTTTTTCTCAAGTGCTGACTGACCTTGTTTAACATTAACCCAAAATCAAAACACAAGAACAAATAAAAACTCCTTAAAAGATGCGAACAGGCTTTCCCATTGTTGTTTTCAAGTACAAGCACCTCACCTATACATCCAATAAAACTAACATCAGCACACAAACAAAAATAAACAAACATGTAGTCATTAAATCAAATAAGAATAAAAAACTACTCACGTTTTGCCAATTCTTCTTGAGCAAAGAAACCAAGAAGTTGACACTCATTTGCACATTCTGAAAGATCTGCTTTTCTTCCATGCTGCAGTTTCCAACAGCAACTCCCATACAAAGGACCTTCTTCAGTTGGAACTTGACAGTTGCCTTGGTCTCATTAACCTTAGCCTCAAGGGATTCCTGGTGGGAAACAAGAGTAGGGAACTTACCTGCATTATTAATAAACATTACACAATCAAAATTAAAGTATGTAAATAAGCATATATCATTCGTTGACAATCAATGAAATCAAATACACATACCAGCCTTGTTTAGACCAGGGCCCAACAAACGAGGAATCTGCTTGATGACAGATTCAGAAGCCAAGAAAGCTTGATGTTTCTTTGCAAGCTTCTTCACCAACTTCTTGTTTTTGTTAAGTTTCTTCAGACCCTCAACATCCATGTATTCAAGCCCAATCTTTTGAGCCTGTAATCCAATTCAATAGTAATAATAAGTCAGATTCCTCCTTCTATGCAATTAAGAAAACCTGAATTTGAAAATTTACCTCTTCAACATGCTGGGCATCTCCAAGCATGCAGACCTTGAGCTTAGGTCTTGGAATGTGAGGCAATTTCACAGTGCCACTGAAACGTTTGTCCTTTTGTGGATCATAATTCTTCAATCCAATTTGGAGTTCAATGGTCTCAGTGAAATTCCGTTTCTTTTCTTTAGCATCAGTAGTGATTTGAGTAATAGCCTCTCTCAAGGCTTCACTTTGAAGTTTACTGCAGAAACAGAATTAACAAATCAAAATTTAATTATGTAATCAGAATTGTTTTCTACATCAATATAAGTTCACAAAGTCATTGCTTTTATGTTCTATCACTCATGAACATCACTCAATTCTGAATACTAATAAAGTAACAAATTTTGTACTATATATCATATGTTAAAAACACCGACTTTGCACAAACTTCGTCGTTTTTTGTAATCCTATGACATTTCTGCATTCTAGAAATAAAAACCTATAGCAAGTACTAATGAAATCTTCGTTCAGCTAGATCAAAAAAGAAACCTCACGTCACGAAATTACATGCCTATCTGCGCGCTATTCCATTCATAAACATATAAAAAACAAGTACCAGAACTTAATAGGAAATTTCAACAACATCACTAGAAAAACTGAAAATTTACCACGCTTTAATCTAAAAACATACCTCATATTCGGAAACTTGACTTTTCGTTAAGCTTCGCTCCTGCCAGGGATCAAATACAAAAAATCATTAACTCAACAATCAACATCAAAAGAAGACACCGCATCAACACATCGACACAATGAGATCTAATTCAATATGGTTGGATAATAAGAACAAGCTAGTTAGATAACAGTAAACATGTAATTACAACAAAACGTTATCATCTACCGTCAAGTTGTATAGAAATATCGTATACCGAGTGTCAATCAAAAGATATTAGACTGCGAATAACAGAAGAATGATGAAATTAAACGCCTAAACTGCAGAACATCATACCTCTCGGAAGAACCCTGATAGTAGGGTTTGAAAGTGCCGATGTAGTTAGGCACCAAAAACAGCTGATATATTATGAATGGGATGAAACCCTAAATCTTAAATCACACGAATGGGCCCTGTATACTGTTTGGGCTTTCATCTAACCCATTATCTTTTTCAGCGTTCTAAATTAAATAATGAACCAAACCCAAACCCAAACCCAAACATCAAGTTTATTTCAAAATATAAAACCTATTTCTCACAATAACATTAACTTGTTAGTTTATTTTATCCACATCTCTTTCTCCCTTTCTTTCCGTTGGTCAACAACCAACAAAAGAGGGATGCTGAAATCAATGTCTCCATCAACAAGAAATCACTTTAAGGACAGATTGTCAAGCTATTATTAGCTTTTACAACAAAGCTAACAGCAACAAATCTAACAGCAACAAATCTAACAGGGTTATATATAAATATATAATACTTGTTGCTTTGGATAAATAAATGGTCTAAGTTTTTTCTTTGTTCATGAATAATCGCTACGAAATATATAAAGCGAAATCCAATTTTCTTACCTTTTTTTTAAACGGCAAATATCATTAAAAGGTCACGATTAGCAACTAACTAAAACGTGACAAAAGAAACAAAACAAACAGAAAGAAAATAAATACAAAGGAGAAACAGAAAAAAAAAATCAAGAGTATAGAAATAAATGAGCAAACGACGAGCAACTTCATTCGGCCTAACCACCACAACTCATACGACTCCTATGTTTGCACCATGAGTATGAATTTGAGATAATATCATCTTCGACATTTGCTAGAACAACGCGAATATTCTTAAAGGTCTTATCATTTCTGACGATCCATATATACCATAATACATAGAACATTATAACATCTCATATTACTTTCTTCCTTTGACAATTAGCCCATATAATGTTTATGTTAAGGAATTCCATAACACCGGTGAACCTCCCAATCCGTAATCCCACACCATTTAAAGATCCAATACTGGACATCTTTGGCGAATTCACAATGGAGAAAAAGATGATCCACTGATTCGAGATCATTGTTACACAGTGTACACATCTGATTTGATATTTGTAACCCTCTTACAGTTAGAGTGTCTGCCACTGGAATTCTCCCTAATATGGCACGCCACACAAAACACCTAAATTTTAGTGGTATCAGTTTTAATCATCAAACCAGCAACCCTTTAAATAGGATCAGGTTCGATTCTATGATACGCCTCATACAATTTGCCACATAATTGTCATCTTTTGTCAGCACAAAACGGAAACCATATGATGAAGATTCCTTAATGGTATTTAGATCACTTATGTCCTTATATAGTTTAAGTAATTCATGAAGCTCAATCGAGTTGGAGAGCGGTTGTTGCCAACACCAAGAAAACTCATTTGTTGAGAATTGATCAGTAAGTGCATAACTTTTGACCGATTCAATCTTGTACAAGTAGGGAAACTTTTCTTTAAACATGATCGCACCTGTGAAATCCCTATTTTTACGGCCATTTTAAAAAAATTTATTTATGCTTATTTAAAACATGGTATAAATTATTTTGCGGAATCGATCCCATAAAAGTATTTCCGAAGAAATATTTTTCATTGTATCTATTTGCAACCAAAGTTCATTTGGGACATAATGGAGTCCAAGTATTGCTAGTTAACATAGTCAAAGGCTTTTTTTTAAATACACCTTAAGTAAATACATCTTCTTTTTGTTGTTCTTGACCTATAAATAAATCTCATTCATAGTCAGAGGTCCGTCAAGAATACTTATGCATTCAATGTATGTTGATTGTACTTCATATACCATTGAGCCAATCACTTTCTTTAAACGGATAACAAGAAGCTTGGCTAAAATTTTGTATAAACACCCGATTAGGCTTATGGGTCAATAATCTAGCAGATTAAGAGGGTCCGATACCTTTTGGTATTAGGGTGATAAAAGAAGAGTTGCAACCAGTGGCTATAGTACCCGTTCTTTCGAAGTGTTTATTGTAACTGATGATTTCTTTACATATAAGATCCCATTTGGATTTAATGATCTTAAAAGTGAATCCATCGGGACCCCACGCCTTGTCTCCCACACAACACCATACTATTGATTGAATCTCTTCAATAGTGAATGGAGATTCCAGGAAACAATTCCGATCAGGCAGAAACTGTTTGAAATATGGGTTGATGAACTTCGGTCTAACAGGCCAAAGTTCATGGAATTTTTCAGAAAAAATCTTCGCACTTCCTTCTTGATTTCTTTTGGGTCAGAAACCCATACCCGATTGATTGCGAGACCGTGAATTTTGTTTTTCTTGTTCTTGTTTTGCAACGAACCATGAAAAAACGAGAATTTTAGTCCCCATCTTGGATCCATTTTACCTTATCTTTATGTTGCAGATCAAGCTTAATGATTCTTTCAAGGTCTAAAATCTTTAACTTATCTTCTCTCCATAAAGATCTTTCAACGGAAGAGAGCTCCCTATATTTAACAAGTTTTTCCATGTTGCCCATCTTAATCATTAATTGAGCAAGATTATCGTTTTCCTTTAAGCGTTCAGCTGTAATCCACTCACATAAGATCTTTATGATATATTTCAGTTTTGCTAACAAGTATCTATCCACTGCTCCAAAACCTTTGAACGAAGCCCAAGCATTGTAAAACACACCATTGAAATTGTTATTGGATAACCACAAATTAAAGAATTGGAATGAGGGGGGACCAAAATCATCATTAGAAGGTTTAAGAGTCAAGGGAGAGTGATCATAGTGTTCTATGGGGAGAGCAAGAACTGAGGATATCAACTATTGGGAGATAAAATTGGAACAAACGAGAAACTTATCGATTTTGTTGAGCTTGAATCCATCTTCTTTAAGATAAGTAAATTTACAACCATCCATTTGGAATTCTTGTAGTTTAGCATTTGCAATGAAATCGTTAAAATATTTCGATGTTTTGCAAAATTTTGAATTGAATATGTCTTCAGGTATTCGAACTGCATTGAAATCTCCAAAAAAATACCAAAATATCGGAAGAGGTCTTCCTTAAATCCAACAACTCAACCGAAAGTTCTTTTGTCGGATATTAATTGAGGGGCGTATTCATTGATTATTGTTGTAATTATTGTAAATTCCTTCCAATGACCATAAAAGGCCAGGTAATACATGGAGGATATTGAGTTGATTTTGGAGAAAATACCAGGATCCCATATACACAAAAGACCATCAAACCTTCCAGTTGGATTAATAACCTCAAACATGAAATTATTTGAGCAGATTGAGCCCCAACATCCAATAATGTCAATTTTATTGCAACCAGTTACACGAGTTTCCTACAAACCAACAAAATCGATATTACGCATCTGTTTTATTTTCCTAATCCATTCTACTTTGTGGGATTCATCCACCCCCTGATGTTCAATAAAAGCTCATTCATTGAAAACCATCGATGACTTCATCACCTTGAGCTTCATTGTCGAGAATCACAGACAAAACCTATGTGTTTTCGGCATCAACTTGAAATCTGACTACACTTCCAATCTTGGTGATAAAATTAACTTCATTGGAGGTGGAGGAGATATCATCACAAGAGAATTTAGTACTAGGATTTGGACACATTTAGGTAAAAATCTCCATCCAAGCGACGAGGAACAATGGAAGTGGGGGTGGGGGTCTAGGTATCATAGCTATTTAATTTTCTTTTTTTGTTAGTGGATTTACCAATTTTTTTAGGGATACCAATTTCGCCTAATGGATACGCTCCAGTAGAATTCAGATTTGTGAAATGGATAAGATGGGTAATCAGGGTAGGATTGGGATCGTGGATGCATTGAGTATGAGTGGGCGTATGAATTAGGCTATTGGAATTAGGTATAGGCGATGGGAACACATTGTGTGCAACCGACATGTTGGGATTGGCGGGACTTTTTGGCTCCAAGTCCCTACGTGACCAATCGTATTTAGCATTAAATGAGTTATTGCTGATTCCAATGCACATCGTGTTCGCCAAAATCGAAAAGACACTCCAATTTGCAACTATATCTCCCTCATCCACATCGTTAATCCAGATGTCGACAATACCATCACTATCATACTTGGATGCAAATTGTTCTTTGATTTCTTAACCATCTTCTAACTTATTATGTTCCTCCTCTTGTTTTTGGGTTTCACCTTTGTAGTAGCTAGAAATCGGATCACAAGCATCTCCACATTCGACTACCCTCACCTTTAAAAATTTTCATTGAAGGAGCAATTGTCTTATGTGTTAATAACCCTCCGATTTGTGGACAAGATACGTACATTAGCAGCAGTAAGGTCTATTGCATGTTAGTTGTGACCATCCACTTCAAGAACCTCACTAAAGTTACTTGCAATGGCAGCCGCATTTTCATTTGCACGCAGATGGAATGGAAGGCCATGGATCCTGATCCAAACTAACCTATTAAAACCATGATCTTCAGTGATGCCATAATCCAACCATTTGAACCACTTATTCAAATTGTAGTTAACTTTAAGGAAAATTTCAGCTGCCAAATGATTAGAGAATTTCAACACAATCTTCATGCCACCAACAAAATACATATTACAGGGGACCTTACCATCGACATGTATCAGATTTGGGAGGTCTTTGAGACGATCGAAGCAGGAAACCTCACCAATGAGGCATGATTGGTTAAAGTTCTCCATAGCAGGGACCTTGTTTAGTTTAACTAATGGTAATACAGATTCCATAAGGGGATTGGAAGTACAATGACTCTTACCCATGACTTACTTGGCGTAGGATCTTCCGCCTCTTATGTTTATTCATGTGTTCTTGGGGTGTTTTTGTCGCTGTTGGCTGTGCTTTAAACTTGCGTGTGGATTTCTTTTCATACTTGGATACGTTAACCTTTAGTGCCCACATCTTGCCTTATTTAGTCTATTTTCCATCTCTAAAGCATCTCGTACACCTTCATATTTTACGAATGCAAAATAAGAGACATTTTTGTCTTTTCTTCCAAGGATGTATATGTCCATCAGACTTCCATATTCGTGAAAGGTTTCGTACATGTCTACTGTGGTATCCTGTTGGATGTTTGATACATAGGAGGTAATTTTGTTGTCCTTTCCATGCTTTCTCTGTCGAACTCTTATCCATCCACCTTCATCACCGTCATGACCTTTTGTATCCTTAGAGAGCATTTATACTAATCTTGCATGATATATATATATATATATATATATATATATATATATGGGCTTAGGGAATATATGGCTGTTAGGTACCTAATATTAGGTATAGAACCATCAAAAAATACATAGTTTTTAACAAAATACAATCAAATCTATCTACCATCCTTCTTGTATCCTCTATAAGACTAGATGATAAGCTTTGTACATATTTTTATGGAATTTTAAATATTTAATTTTGCACCACAAACCATGTACAAGAATACATTATCAACTACCTAAGTCTTCATATTCAAATTTAGTATAGAAAACTATAGTGAAAGATTGAAATTGTTCATTAAAATCCCAATAAATTTCTTCCCATAACACATCAAAAAGAACCATACAAGTATACATATGGTAGGTTTCAAAGAAAGTTATGAAGCCTACTAGAGGTCTAATATAAACAACACATTCGAAATGCATAGATGTAGGGGATAAATTATGAAATCAAAAATAATATAAGCTCAAAAGTAATAGAAAGAAGCTAACAAGGAAAAAAACTGTGTTTTTTAATCAAAATGAAGTCAATTATGATGGTTATATACCTAATATTACATACATGACAACCACATATTCACTTTTCCATATATATATAGGTAAAGGTTCAAATGAGAACCATAAAAAGTTAAGAACCATTTAAGAACCATTTCATTAAGGGTATTTTTGTAAATTTAACTTAATGTTATAAAACATACATATCTTTCATTATTACAATCTGATCTAACTTATAACATTTCAAACTCTTTCAAAAACTCTCCCACCATTTTTTGGAAAACACAAACCCAAAGATCTCCACCACCACCAATTACCGCCGGCGGCACCACCACCACCAATTATCGTCGGCAGCAGCACCACCGCCGACACCACCGCATAAGGCGGAACACCTCCACCAGTAGATCGACGTGTCTATTTCATCATCCGCCTCCACTTCTTCAAATCTACGATATATCCATTTTTTTATTTGTTTTGCTCCGGTAAACCATCAGATTTCACCAGATCTGATGTATTGTGTATTTTGAGGTTAGATATAGCATTGCTCTCCCCTCCATCCCGCATTGATGTTAACCTGCCTTGCTCCGATCTACAACCGCATCAACTCCGGAGTTACATTATTTGACGACTTCACCTTCGTCATCCTCTGACTCTACTTCACCAAATCTACGATCGTATCCATGTGTTTCTCTCTTTTACTCGGATGAACCAACAGATCTGCAATTAGATCTCCTCAGATTTGCATTAGATATCACCAGATCTGATGTGTTTGTGCAATTTCATGTTAGATTTGGCTAACGACCACTTCTAACGAGATTAAAGGAGTTTCAATGATATATGGTTTCGTGTTCTTCAGGTTATACATCCAATTTTGTGTTATTTATCTCAGATCTCTTAAAAATGTTTGTTGTTTTTTATCTCAAGATCTGGTAAACCATTTTTTTCTCCAGATCTACGACATCATCCATTTTTTTCTCTGTTTTGCTCCGGTGAACCATCAGACCTCCACTCTCAAACCTCATCGGAGAGCCAAACAACATCACTTGACGTCAAAGATGATAAGGCTCTTATTGTTTTGTCCAGATATGATGTTTTATGTTGATTATGGATCTGACGTATGTGGTGCACATAAAGTGTTTGACGAAATGCCTCAACAAAATTTAGTAAGTTATTAAGCTGTGAATATGTATTTTTATGTGTTAATTTGTGAATATGTAAATTATTAAGCTATGAATGCGTTTTTTTATTCACTAAGCTATGAACTAGTATCTGAAATGTTGAATTAAGTTATGAATTCTGATTTTTTTTTATCTAGATATGATTTCTGAAGGAAGGATGTTGGCAAAATATGGTTGTTAGCGGTGTTGATGTTGGTGGTGATGGTAGAGTAAGGATATAGTCTATTTCTCTCATCTTCTTCATTTATTTCAGATAAGTTATCATCTTTTATGATTCATATATACGTTTTTTTAATGTATGCTTCTAAAATATGCCATAATGATGTGTGTATTAAACTGTGAATGGGCTGTTTAATACAATGAAATATGAGATTATACTTATAAATGATTTGTGAATGTATTGTATTAAACTGTGAATTTTGTGTATTAAGCTGTAAATTTTATTCACAGCTTAGTATAATAAATTCACAATTTAATACACAAAAACGAATCTAAATATATACATATAAATGTAAGTTTTAAGTTGATAATATATAAGTTTTGTTTATTAAACTGTGAACTTATTGTATTAAGCCGTGAATTTTGTATATTAAATTATGAAGTGACTGTATTAAGCTGTGAATTGTCTATATTAAGTTGTGAACTTTTTATGAATTTTGTGTTCGCTTCTAAAATATGAAAATAAATAAACATTGTACACATATTCGATTTTCTCTAAGTTTGAATAAAATATGTAAAATTTAAATTGTGAATATTATATAATTTAAAATTTGAAAGAAGCATTATCTTCCATATATTAAGCTGTAAATGTAATTTATACATTGACAATATGGCTGTAATGTATAATTTTTATATTAAATTGTGAATTTTGTGTATTAAACAGTGAATTGACTGTATTAAGATATGAATAAGTATAAATTTTGTGTTAAAATATGAATTATTTATATATAAGTGTTTGTATTAATTTTCTTGTGAATATATTTATTCTTTGTGTTGTATAAATATATAAGAATATAGTAGTTTTAATATTTATTTTCCATTAAACTTTAAATGAGTGAATTAATAAGTTTATTAAACTGTGAATGTATGATTTTATATACAGATCTAATCTGGAAGGAAAGATTGTGGCAACGGTGGCACAAGTTGTTGTTGGCGGCATGTGGTAGCTGGTGGTGGTGGTAGAGTTTGATATTGTCTTTTCTAAATCTTTGAATTAGTGTAGAATGTACTGTATTAAGTTGTGAATTTTATATATTAAACTGCAAATGAATTGTATTAAATTGTGTATTATGTACATATTGTGTTTAAAATATCAATGAAAATAGAACAAATTACGTGAATGGTCCTTTAGGTTTTGGATTTTTCCGTAATGTAGTCCCTACGATAGTTTTTTCCCTCAAATAGTACCTACGGACCATAAGTTGCACGCGTTTGGTCCCCGGGTTGGATGTCCGTCCATTCCAACGTTAAGTTGCCCCCATTTGACTTGCACATGAGGGTACTTATGTCATTTTAGCCTAAAGGACCTTTTCTGAACATATAAATTAATAGCTATATCCATTAAGGTGGCGGGGTTTAGTTTCAGACATTGACTTTATACTCTATCTCTTTCCCCAAGAAAACCTTTTGATCATCCCATCTTCTTCAATCGTGAGTTCTTATCGTCGTCCGACAAAACAGTTCAACTGATTGAAGGGTGTATCGAGGAAAAATGGTGCTCACATTGTGGTCTTTACGTCCACGCTACACCCAACCACCTGACCTACGTAAAGAGTATGGTAAGCACGTACCTTGTAATGCTAGGTTTTGACGAAATGTAATTTTTCTTTCCTCCATCATTAACATTTTATTGTTCTTGAATGTTCACATCAGGTTCTATTTCAAGCTTTTGCACATTCAAGATAAATCATGGGGGTTCATTTACAAATACGGTATCTGGAAGGTCATACATAGATGGGCTTGTGGATCACTTTGATTTTGTGGACATGGATGTGTTTTCAGTTCACGAGTTAGATGATATGATGGCAGTTTTAGGGTACAATGATGGAGGTATAATGTTTTACCATTTCATGATCCCAGAGACAGACTTGGATAGTGGATTGTTACCCCTTGGCACCGATCAAGAAGTCATTCAGCTGGCAAGGTATGTGCTTAATCATAAGGAAATTAATTTGTACATCGAGCATGGAAATACTAGAGTAGTCCCTTACTTTAAGTCCCCGTTGAAGGTTCGTATTGAGGAAGTTGAAGGGAATCATTCTCCTGAAATGAATAGGGTTAGAATGAAAAGGAAATCAATTGGGTCATGTAGTAAAAAGTTGGATTTGAATGAGTCCACTGATTTGTCAAAGTTAATTGTACCCTATGAACCTGTGATCAACAAAAAACACTCAGTTGATCGAGAGAGTGATCCCTTTAGGGGGTACAGTTTGAGGATAACCATGGTAAAAAAGATGTTGACACAGGGGATGATCACCAACCAAAAAGGGATGTTGATCCAGTGGATGATTATGAGGTAATGGGGGATGTGGACGCAGAATATGGTGGGGAAAAATCTACATGATGTTGAGTTTTTTGAGGATGAATACAGTGGAAGTAAGGAAAGTGTTAGTGAGGGTCCTTGGAGTGAGGGTAGTAGGAGTGAGGGTAATATGATAGATGATGAGAGTGAGGACGAAGACTTCTTTGTGGATTTAGAAAATATTGTAGATGATGTGGATGTTGATATGAAAGAATTTCATATACATGTTGATGAAGATGTTGAGTGGGTTTAAAAAACCACCAAAGAAGCAAGTGGTAGTGGTG